AAATATAAATCCTTGTACAAAATTGATAGGGGGGGGGGGGGTCAAAAAATCGTTCTCTAGGAATTTACCCAATTTTGACTTAAATTTTTAAATAAATAAGTGTCAACTTGCCTGAGATTAAGTCTTCTTTATTCGCGTCAAAGTTTACAAGTATGAAACCATACTGGTCTATATTGGTCAGATCTATTTATAACAATTTTGAGACAATTTGTCAATTTTAGAACCAAGAGGATCCAATTTTTCCAATTAGTTTGTCAAATCTGAAAATATTAAAATTTTGGGTCACTTCATGATAAGGTTATGATCAATTGACATAACATTGAATGCTCCCTTACGGTTGTTTAAAGCTTCTAAATTTTAAATTGCAAATGTGCATTGCAAATATTAATGAAGTCTCCATTTTGCCAATTTTGCACACAGTCTTCCGCCCCACTCACAATACATGCGCAAATCTACTATTGCAACCTGCTGCCTTCTTGCAAAAACCTCAAAAATTTCCTGGAAATGTGCAATTTAAAAACAAGAAAATGATCCAAATACTTTCTTCGTGTTTATCAGAACTTGTTGAGCTAACTGTCACTGTTCAAAGTCTACTGGATAAGTCACTAAAAATGATTTTGGTTTAAAAAATAGCGACAAGTTCAAGTTGCAGAGTTAGCACGTCTGTTATGGCGGTTTCGATGTGACGGGTTGAATGTACCGGACCGGCCTAGGCACACGAGGAATGATTCTACCAGATCGTCAGGGAAGACAGGCCGGAAATCTACCGTACCGTCAGGACAGAAGAGCTAAATACGCTGTACCGTCAGGGAGTCTGAGAGCTGAGAGAACGAAGCAAAACTCCGCGGACCGTCCGGTCATATCAGACCAATTTCGGGCCGACCCTTACCCACCAGTTAGGAAATGATCTTTCAAACCGGGCCGTCTTCTCAGGCCGACCCGGGACGGGATAGGAGAGGCAGGGCTCTAAAGAACAATAAAAAGCCAATTTGACAACTTGGACAAATTATTGTGAAGTTACAAATATCTATCATGTAATTCCTTCTAGTCGACAATTTTATAAAATTTCAATAAACCTACAGAATTTACAGAATATGGTCTCTTTTAAAAGAATTTATCCCTATAATGCAAGAAAATAAATAATTCAGGGTCCCGTCTGAAGAACTGAACTATGGCGGCTGCAACTTTGCAAAGCGCACACTCAGGACACGTCTGGGCCAATCCTTCTAACTTACCTTTCCTGTCTGTACAACATCGTCAGCTCTGCCTCATATTGCAAGATAGAACCTCTTTATTACCTGTCTGTAGATCAAAGGTAATAGGCCTATAAGAAAACCCGCCAAAATTACAACTTAAACCGGTTATTTCAAATTTGCAAGAAGGAATTGTTGGGATATGGTTATTGGTTGGGATTTGTCAATAACTGGCATGTCGAAAAAAAGAGTTTTGGACTTAAAATTAAAATTAAAAAGAGGCGGCTGCAATTATACAGCTGGCATATTGG